TTGAGTGGGTATTCCTACCTCATAACTCTATTCCAAAGTTAGGAGAATATGTCTATGAAGAGCCAAGCACATTAAAAAGAAATTGCCATTACTCCCCTGAAAGTTGGTGTCAATGTCACCCCTTTGCTGCCAAGAAAGAAGCCATTCCTCTGTTCAAAGCAGCCATGGGCAGTGTCACACATAGCACCTGCCTTTTTACTGAGATGAAGAAGTAGACTTGGGTTTGCAGTTTGTAATACCCATGAGAACCACGATTCATACATTCCTAATGCTGTAATGTCCTTGGATGTATAAATAGAAGAAAGAAAATGGGTTTCTAAAAAATGAAGGGATGGGCTGCTTGGTGAGGCAGTGATTCCCCATGCTGGGTGTGCTCAGTAGTCGAGATTGAGCCACCTGCCAGGGATATGTGAGGCTGAGAGTCCCGCTCTGAGTGGGAGAGTAGGACTACCTTTTTGATGCTGATCAAGAAAGATGGACCATGTCAGAGTCTCTGGTGGTTGAAAAGTATCAAGGGCAACAGGTACCATTGTTCTGTCATATAAGCCACTAAAAAGAAAGCATATGGGCATATCCAGAAGATAAATTGACAACACTTTGGGAGATATAGGAAGAAAATGTTGGGAAAGACTTGACTAATGTTTTCCCTGTCCTTCCAACAACCGGGAAACTCTGATTCTTAATGTATTTTTAGAAGCCAGCATATGGCTCCATTTGAGCTCACCATAGTGCCTAACATATTGCAAGTGGTCAGGAAATCATTCATTAGCTGGTTGATTGACTCCTTCTACGTGATTAGATAAATGTTTGCTGAAGGGGTGATTGAATGAGCGAATGTCTCTTTACTCCAGTTTTACTAGTTCCAGTTTTCCCAGGATTTGTTACAGTGACCTCTTGTTCCCCCACATTTCTAAAGGTTCTGGTGATCCTGCCAGGACAACCTTCAGTCTGTTCATGTCTGTTACCACGCAGCTTTCAGAGCTAAACACTACACTCCATCTTTAATCAAGTGAACCATCAGGATAAGGGCTTACAATAAGCACCAACTGAGACTGAAAACAAAAACCCTACTGTTCTGCAAGGCCAGGGGTCAGAGATGCCATGGCGTTCTTTCAGATGCACCTAAGTGGGGCTATTGAGAACAAGGTGTAGAAGTTTGCAGTTGTGCCTATCATGTTTTTGCTGCTTTCTAACCCTTTTGGCCAAAGCAAATGTCATACTCAGTCATGGGCATGGCTCCTGGACTCTATCCCTGTGCCAAGTGCCAGCCTAGAGATCTGTGTGCTAGGAAACCAGCCAGCTATTTGAAGTACATTGCATCAGGCATTTCCCGAGGTGTAAAGGAAGGCATCCTTGCTAGAAAGCAGGGAGAATTTTGGCTCTTAAAAGATTGGACTCAGTAACTTTAACTCCTTGGCTAACACCCAATTCTCCTGCAAGCAGCTATCATGTGGCCTGCAAAAAAATTCAGATCCAAAGCCTCATTTTCATGTTGACATCAGAGCCTCCTTTGAGAGATATGTCACCCTCTGAGGACAGGGACAGCTTTAGGAAAGGAGAAACATTTAAAAGCCTGACATTAAAAATACCTTAGTACCCTTTTCACTTAAAATTTGCACTGGGAAAATTTAGACCCTGTCTTAGAAATCTGTACAAAAAACAATTGCCATTCATTATTATTTTTTTTTCAAGTTAAATAAAATTATACAATGAACAGTGATGGATATATTGGTGTTGATTTTTAAATTTGTAAATTAGATCTTAACAGTAGTTTTTCAACTGCACAAATTGTCTTTTGCAGTCAAGGAATTTGATCTCAACAGCACTCAGAAGCAAATATCTTGTCATTTTAAAGTCTTTACCTCTTTCTTGGTGTTACACAGGCTCTTGTGAATTGCATATGCAAATTCCTCTGTGTTTTTTTTTTTCCCTACCAAGTATTACTCAAATGGTTAAAAAAAAAAACGAATTAATAATACAGAGACCCTGGAAGCCTCCCAACTGAATATGAAAGTTGTGTCCTGGGGTGGGAACAGATGGTGGGAGTAGTGCTAGGGTACAGAAGAGGACACGATACAAAGCACCTCTGGATGAATGATCATGTCCAATACTCATACCTACAAAACATAGCGCTATTATTAGATCATTCCACAGTTTGTTCAGTGAGACTAAGCATAGAAAAGTTTCAAAGTCATTATCAAGATGAAAGCCCAAGTCTTTTGCTAGATGGATCCTTTTCCCACCATAAACTCTTGAAACTGAGGACCCCAGTGAAGAACAGAGTGATGACGACATGAACCTCTGAAGGAATTAACCCAGTGCTTCCATGGGACCTTTCTATCTATAGTCTTGACTCTGAGTCTTCAATCTCAACGCTGTATTCCTCCTCTTTTCTTCTGGGAAAATTGATCTGGCATTATTTAATCCCTACTGTGAAAAGGTGCTCAAGAAAAACATGAAATATTTATGAAATGCTTGGTTTCATGGGAAGTTGTGTTCCTGGCTGCAAGGCTTCTGTAAGCTTCTCCTTGGCAGTGCGGACAATGTGTTGCCATCTTACCCATCCATGGCGTCCGCCCTTCCCACACTCTTCCCCTGCCCTGTCCATGGGTGAGAATCTAAGAATGTCACACGTGGGCTCACTACCTTCCATGAATCATGTCTGTTCTAAAGTGTCCACAAGGGGAAATAAAGGCGTGGGGTGAGGAGAGGAGGAAATGGCAGCAGGGAAACAAGAAGTAGAGTGAAGTCGGTGAGTAACAATTGACAATCCCCCCAGAGCCCAAGCTGTTAACCCACCATGTGTGGACCTCCTCTGCCAACCTCCCCACCAGGTGAAACTGAGACTTGTTGGCTGGATCACGCAAGGACCTTTGCCAAGGTCTGCTGTGGCCAGGCTTTCTCAGTGATGAGAGTCGGTGGGGTGCAGAGCTGTTCATTTGGCATCCTTTACCAACGCTAAGGTCACCGATGAAATATTAAACTCAGATTCTATCCATGACTTCGTGAAGACGATCCGGCATGGAAGGAAGCCAGGGGAAGGGGCAATGATCAGATAAACAAAGAGGCAGGAAACCTCCTGGAAGAACACCCAGGAAGGCTCAGGAGGGCCACATTGCCACAGTGAAGCAGCCAGCTTGTATTTAATTGCAACTCAATATTTTCCTTAGTCCACACCTTTACCTCTTATTTCTCGGAAAGTGGCACAAAATAACAGGCTTCACAATGCCATCAATGTCCATTTTGACAGTATTCATGTCACGATACACAATCATGTACTGTAATTATACAAAATCCAAAGAATAGAATGTTACACGTTACACAGGTTAAAAAAAAAATGAAACTGACAACCCAAAAGAAAACAAAACAAAATGAAATCTCTGCCAGAATCCACAGAGACGCCTGACAATATTACAAAAGAATGTAGCCAAATAATTGTCCTAGCATGCTGCAGTTCATTGCCATAACTTTGTTAAGTTCCCAGCTCTTTGGGGGGAAAGAAAGTGCATTTCCACTGCCTATACTTCTCAGAGGAAGAGCTCTCACATAATGTGCAGGTCAACAGAAAAAGAAATGCAAACTCTAGGCACCAAGATTGCTCAGACAGCAATGGAGTTTATAATCAGAGTTGAAACTCTTCGGAACCAGATCTGGTTTCTTGAAAAGGAACCTGGACTGTGACACTAGTCCCGAAGGGCCAAGGAGGAAAACACCCAACTGTTAAGAAGAAGAAAACCATCAAGAACTAGAACAATTAAGACAAATATTTTTCTACTCTACTTTGAAGTTGAAGTACAGTTTTTCATATTTGGAATAGGAAATGATACATGGTTGATCTGCGGGTAGAACTCCTGCCTCTTCCTCATCCACCCTCCCCATTCCTGATCTAGCAGTTTCAAGGTTGGAATACAGAGATTGATGGTTCAATTTCTTTCAAGTAGAATAATCATTTTTTTTTCCTGTGTGGCCATGCCTCTTTTAAGTAATGAGGTAAATTGAATGTTAATAATGTCTGTTCCTTCCTGGGCTATGGAGTTGATCAGTGGTGTAGGCGGAAAACAATTCAACTTTCTGATAAAAATCACACACATACAAAAATTATTGCACTTAAAAAAAAAAAAAAAAGCAACTCAGCCCAACCAGTAAAGGGCCAGCTAAACTCTTTGGAAGTATTGTTACTTCCTGCCCTTTGCAGACCATCTTGACCTTTCTGGTGATCTGTTGAATTTGGTCCATTAAATGTCCAGAAGTGAAAGAGTCCAAAAGACACTGTAGGCTCTTTAAGGCTAAGTCTTCCCGGTGCTTCTATGAGATAAATTATCTCCTTGGCCACATACTACAAAGTTGGGGCTCATTTTAGCAAAATGACTATCAGGGCCCCCCAAAAGTTTGGAAGCAAGGGAGGATGGGTGCACATCATGTCCTCTCCTGTGAATGAGAGAAAAACAGTAAGCAGCCTGGATACCAGCAACCTCCCCCTGACTCTACCATGAGCTTTCATTATACTCAGCCCACAGCCCGTGTGGATGTGAATTTATCTGTGTGACTCCTTTCTGTGTGTCTGAATGTCTCTTTCTATTTGCAATTAAGTCTGTCCTTCCTTATTCTTTATCCTTCCTGCTTATTTATGCTGCCTCTGTATCTTCTTCGATGGATATAAGGGTACAATGCTAATCCTATTCTGCTACCACTGACCCATATGCTTTCTATCCTTGCAATATTTCTCCCACAGTGTGCTGACTCCTCTTCCCACTCTGTCATCCCCCAGCCCCAGCATATTTACAATCACCTACACCCTGTTTACTGCTCTAAATAGTCTGCTTACTTGTTACCTCACCCAAAATTACACATCCAAAATATGATCTCCTAGGCAGTTTGTGTTCAGGAAATTGAATGTGTTACTGATGTTTTCACTGAGCTCTCAAGTACATACTCACAGAATAGGTGAGATAAAGGCTTTTTCAGACTCCTCTATCCTGAGACTCTATTTTCAATACCGTTTTTCTTTTTTCGAGTGTCCATTCCAGTTTAGGTAACTGTGTAATCCTTACATGACCCTTGTAATCAATAAATATTGGAACAAAATATCTGGGTAGACAGAGTAGTAACCCTCTATTGCAAGCATGTATCCAATATCAGAATGGTTTAAGGTTCTGGACAGAGGGAATGGAGCTCAAATCATCATGGGTTGCAGAAGTTCCTGCTTGTTGCTACCCCCAAACTAAAGCTCAAAGATATGCTATGGTATTTGTTTCTCCCTGTGTGCTGAGACTTGGACACAAAGACTAGTGTGAATATAAAAGACTACTAATGCCAATACCAATGACTACTGCTACCTTATGACTTATGCCGTCCCCTCCCCTCCTACTGTTCTAAGACAGAGCACCTGTGATGGGCTCTTCTCTACTTACTGCTCCAGATTCAGAACTAGGACTTGCTAACATTCTCATATATGACATCACTGATGCAGAACTGCTGCTTCTTCTTCATCCACATCAGTTGAACACACTGATGGATAAAAATATACTGCTCCTGGAGCAAAAGACAAAAGTGGATTTCAAAGCAAGACATTTTCATGCAGATATGTGCAAAGATAATGCATTTTATTACTATGTTAGTTTTAATGATCAGGATCTGATGTAAAAGGAAACCGTTTTCATTATTGGCAGAGATAAGTGTATAACTAGAAAATTTAAGACAATCACTTATAAGCAGTCTTTTAATTAATGATAGAGCTTAAGACAGCACTACTTTCTTTTCCCCCCTGATTGGAATGTCTTTTCTTAGATTTGTTGAGGTATAATAAATAAAAAGTACATATAATAAGACATACAATGTGGTCATTTGACAGATATCATGAAAGGATTATTATTATCAAACAAATTAACACATGTGCATTACTTCACACAGGTACTTTTTTTCCTCCTTTTTGGTGATATGAACACTTAAAAATCTACTTTCTAAGCAAATTTCAAGTAAATAATAAGTATTATCAATTATAGTCACCAAGAATTATGTTAGCTCATCACTACATAATGCTAAAAGTGATTAATATGCAATCACTTAATCATGAGATTATTTTGAAAAAAAAATTGTTTCTATCTAAACTATATACTGAAATAAATTCCAACAAAATTAATAAATAAAATGATAAAAATACAAAAGAAAGGTTATTATAGGTTAATTCCTCTATGATTATTCTAGGAATAATCAGAAGGAATTTCTAAAATTAAAAGCCATGAATAAATTACAAATAAAAATTCCAAACTGTGTGCAAAAAAAAATGGTAGAAGAATAAAATTAAAGTCAAACTAGAAACTAGGAGATAAAAATGTTTTCCAAAATTATGACAAAATGTTTATAACTTTATTTTTGTTAAAAAGTCACATAGATCAATAATACATGCAAGTAGACAGATAAGTATAGTTTATCAACCACTAGGCCGGATATTAATGGAAGGCAAGTACTATGTCTTTTTATTGTTAATTCCTAGCATTTAGTTTATGACTATTAAGTGATTTTTGAAGTAAACTGAGGAAATATTAAAATATGAACAAAAATGGTCAAGAAATAAAATATGAATTAAAACAGCTATTTTTTTCCCAACTGTTTTTTAAAGTGAGCAAAGCTAGGGAGGGAAAAGGGTAACAGTTCAATGATGATGAGTGTCCTGAAGCAGTTATTATTACTTATTGTTGGTGGAGCTAAAAATAATAAGGTGCTAATAAATTGTATAAATGCAGGTCATAGTGTGATAATAATAAAAAGTGGAAAATATCCAATTCAATGTTTTATGTAAAGGAGAAAGCGCTAAGTAAGCAATGATGTACCTATAATGAAACAGTATTTAAAATGAGATTTATAGAATTTTAGGCAATCCATGATATAATACATAGTCAAATGCTAAGTGAAAAATCTACATTGTCAAATGCTAAGTGAAAAATCTGCAAATAATATATATGTATATATATATATATATATATATATA